GGGGGGGGGGGGGGCGGAAGGAATCTATAGTCTAATACAGAATCAGAAACTGTTCAAAACAAGTGTTACTCAGCTTCAGAAAATGCAAAGGCTATATAAACAGGAAGCCAACCTCCAGAACGGACAGAAAAGAAACAAAATTTCCATCATTTTTCTCCTAACAAATGGAGGACAGAGGCATCCATCAAGCAGTCTTCTGCCAAACAGAAAAAGTTAAACACAAAGAACAAACAAAGACTTACTTTGTCAAATGATGTCTTTTGCTCAGGCGGTGGGAAAGCAGTTTTTTGTTCTGGTGGTTGTGCTGCTGTAGTTTTCAACTGAGCAGTAATAGCTTGAACCTGAGCCATCACAGTGTTATCTATGACCGGTGACTGGGGTTTTTGAGGCTGTTGAAAAGTCTGAAGAATTTGCTGAAGCTACAAAAACACATATAGTGCTAAGTATATATTCTTATATAAACACATAGTATTGAAAGAGTTGTAGGATATAAATTTTACATCAAACCAGACTATGGCATGAGATGAACACCACCAACAACCTGGCTGAACTATGGACAACTTTCAGCAAGACCGAAAGACACTTTTTAAATACTTCAGTGGCAAAATTCAGCAGATACCACCATTTCAGTATGCAGGCCTTTCAACACTGCAAACGTTTAGGTTGGACCGAACAATAAAACTCAATCTTTTGTTTGATATATTCTGCCTGTTCTTGAAACTTTGTAACAGCATCAATTCAGAACTAATTATTTAGGAATATATAACTATAATTTTCCTCAAATACCATAATTACCAGATAGAAGGATCACAGACCAGTTAAATACTGACTTAAACTCTTACAAGTTTTCCACTGAAGACCTTAGGGAGGCTTTTCATTTTGCTTCAAATCAAGGATATTACTTTCATCATTTTCCCCCCTCATTTAACATAAAAACATAAAAGTTACAAGGGAACCAAATATAAACAGGTTACCTGTTGTCCTTGTGTTGTTTGAAACAACTGAGCTACAGCTGCAAAGGCATCAGAACTGGGCAACTGTGGCACAGTAGGTACTGAGTTAGCAGTAACTTGAGGGGGCTCCGAAGGAACCTTTGCTGGAGGGGGAGGCGAACCTGAGAGTTTCATAGGAATTGAGAAAGCACTATGTTACTCCAAAACATTCATCTTACGCTTCAGTGCATACATCTACCTCCTCAAAACAAACGTCTATCTACAATACTCTGTCTAACCCAAAAAGTCCTATCTAAACTACCCCAATTGCATATTCTATTCATTTTGCCTTTAACTACTCCATTCACTGCTCACATCTGTGCGTTATATACACTAAGAAAGAAAACAAAGGAAAATGGCCTATCTGAAAGCTAGTCCAGCATGGTATTTTAGAACACAACTCAATGTTTATAACTGTACAACTTTACAAAAGTTAAGAGACAAACTATTACTCAAACAGTGTTAAACAATGCGTATCAACACACTTAAAATGTTATCTCTGGTTACAAAGTCCTGGACTCATTGTTTTGGATTATTATTTCAAATCAATCACCTATTGGTTCATTTTAAGAGAAACTAAGTTTCTCTTAATATTTTCTGTTTTCTAGTAGTAACTGAACTTTTGCTGAAATGTCTGGTAATAATTAAAGGTTTTTAAAAAATTATTTCACACACAACTCTCTTTCATAAGGTTTGTTCACATACCACTTTTGCATAGGCACAAGACAAACCTGCATATGATAGATAAATCTTCCTATCATAAAAGTAAGTTTTACTAATTCTTCCAGGAAAAGACTCCCATTTCCACTGAGCTTTACTAAAACTGAGATCACATTTTAAGACATGCTATTAGCTTTGTCTACACATGCAGCTTTCCCATTCTCTTTGCTTTAGATTACAATGCTTTCTTTTTTAACAAACATTTTGCCAGCACAAAGTAAATTAGCAGTAATACTATTAATTCCTACACACTGTGAGCAAGCAACTATTCTTTAGCAAATCTATTTTAATGGGCTACTATAAAAGCGTACGAAGACAGACAGTTAAAAAAAACCCAGAGAGGGAAATATTTTTTGAGACACTAAGCAAGTGTTTGCCTCACAATGCCAACTTCTTTAAAGCCATTCATCTGTTTGCAGCTTAAATAACTGCAGTGTTGACATGCAGCAAGCAGAGACAAACGTGTTGAATAACATCTTCCCAGAAGTCAGATGCTACATAAAAATACTGCAAAAAGATACGATTCTGTTTAAATATAAATTAACTCCCAAACTACTTCCTGTATAGAATGGTATTTGCTTGCTCAAGGGAGAAAATTTGCATTTCTCTCGCTTTCTCTTTTTTTCACTGAACAGACTTTGTAGCATCATGAGCTAAATGGATTCTGTATCACACAATGCATTAATATACTTATTATTATCCATTAGCATATTTATTTCAGGGCCAAATTATCCCCTCTGGTGCATCTGAATAACCTCACTGAAATCAGTAATTCTGTACATGAAAATCTATGCAGAAGGCACCCAACGTGTTAGCTACTAGTGATGAGACAAAGATGGAAAAATAGCGCCACTCACCTGTCATATCAGAATGAAATTGCATAGCCAGTCTGCACCCAAGCTCAGATGCCAAGACATTCCCTCCCCCTGCCCTGCCATGTTTATAAAACATGTCAACAAGACAAGCCGTCCTAAACACCACTGGAGATGATTTCATTTATGCTATTGTGCATCATTACTTTGTTGTCTGTCACCATACTTCACTCACTCCATTACATTTTTTGCCAATCCTACTCCAACATACATCAGTGCAATAAATATGGTTACCAAAGCTAAGTCTGAAATACAGAGTGCATACTCAAAGAGAAGGCCCTCCAGAGAAAGACAGAATTGTGGTACGCATATTCTCATCCACAATTCAGTAACCTCAGTACCAGCTTTTTATATGGCATAAAACAGGGCAGTGAAAATACTGTGGGCAGGCCGTCATTACTTTACTCTTTAGGTCAATGGTTTTCAACCAGTAGCCCATGTAAAACCTACTGCCAGACATAAATTTACTGTTCAACAATTTAGATTTGAAACACCAGTTAAAATGTTTCAGGGCTGCATACTGAAAGAGACTGACAGCTGTTGCTTTTGGATACAAAGTTGATTCAAAGAAAGATGAAGCTCTTAACATGTAAGATCATGCTTTACTTATCCAGATTTAACATTGAAAAAAAAAAATTACATCAGAATTGTAAAATTTGAGAAAAAACAGAAAAATGTATCAGACCAAAAGATAAAAAATTCAAGATTTTTTTTTTTAAGAGGGGACACTGAAGTCATCTGTAAAGCATGCACATATGTATGCACCTACGCATACACATGATTTCAGGTCTTTTCCAAATAAGTTCACATTCTGATAATCTCTGATGTACAGTATCAGCATTTATTTAGAATGAGTTCAGCTGCTCCACATAATTATGACAACAAAGTTGAGTTTATTAATATGCTACGGATGAACTAAAAGTAGGCGCTTTAATGTGAAAGCAAACAAGCTATTATCATTCACCCTTTTAAAAGAAGAAGTTATAATGTTGTTCATACCTTCATTATTAGTAGCATTTTCTGTCATTGGTGCAGTGGCACTAGTTCCTGCTGCCATATCTAGAAGAGGTTGAATTATTTCAATTTTAAATACTCCATTTTTCTGCCAAAGGTTCAGGACACGGACTATTTTACTCTGTTGAAACAAAACCAAGCACCAACACTAAATACAGTTTTCTCAACTCACAAACTCCAAATTTATCTTCTGTACATTGAGAATAAAGGTTCGAACAATATAGGAGTTCAGCATAATCAGGTATACCAATTTAACAAGCCTTATGTTGTCACATAAGTCAGCAAGACCTTTTAGATGGCACAGATAAAAACTGCCCATTTATTTTACTATCCACTTTAATAAAAAGCAACTTGTGCCATTTTCCTAAAACTGTTCTGGCCAGTGAGAAAATCCAGGTTTGATATACAATAGACAAAGACACATCAGCCGCACCATTTCTTCACAGATGGTCATAAAGGGGTGAAACAAACGTGACAAGAAAGACAGAGAAAATGAAGATGAGCTGGAAAACCATAATGAAGAGGGGGGCAATTAGACCATAAAAGGCTAGAACTAAGCTTTAAAGTTAGATAGATGATTGTTCGCTTGAATTTTTCCCTACTAACTCAACCAATTCTATGTTGACAGAAGAAAACCCATCTCTATCATTATTCAAAAGATCAAGAAAGCAAGTTTAAAACATTCTAACTGATCACTGCAGGAAGATTAAATTAGAACCTCTGATTGTCAGCTGTTATTTTAAGCTCATTTATTGTTTTAACATTACGAACAATGAAGCTTTCAGGTACAAGCTGGAAATTTGTCTTTCCTCCTTTAGTCCAGTATTAAACAATAATATATAACTAGATGTGCTGCTTCAGTTGGCACATGCAAGCAGGTAAAAGTCAGAATACATGTTATATTGCCATACTTGTCCTTATTGTATACTTAGTCATCTGACTTGCACAAATATACATTTTAAGTACTTTCTACTTCTACTGTAGCTACTAAGAATGAATCGATTCTGTTCCTCTTTGTTTCAACAATAGAATGCCTTACTGTGGCTCAGTTATATACACCCATGCAAATCCACCTATACTTTCATAAACTAAGCAATTAAAGAATGTCACAAAGTGTTTTCTACAGTAAGATCAATTAGAGAGAAACCTGAAATGGCTATTTTTAAATATGATTTTGGTCTGAAAAACAGTCAACTTTAAAACAGTAGCATTTTTTGGTTTTGGGTATTCCAGCTCTCCAGAAGTCTTGAAAATAATTTGAAGGCCAAAAAATGAATAAATTTAATACTCTTGTTTTCAGTCACATATTAGTCTTACAGAAAGGCTGTTAAAAAAAAAGTAGCATCATTCTCTTTGGATATCAACCATAGCTGTTGTGTATCTGCAGATCAGCTTTTTTGTTTAGGGACTGGAAATTGATTAAAGCAAGCATGTTACAAATAGTATTATTCTCTCTAGAGAAAAGCATGTTAATTATTTTAGCACTGAGATATCAGGCAGTTCCATAAAGGAGTTGAATAGTCTAATTCATTTAGACGAACAAAACGGTAACCACAAAGGTGGAAAGAAGAAGGGACCTTTTTCACCTATTAAATCAGAAGCTCCAGAATACCAGATTCAAAGCCTAAAGGTCTAAATGTTCCACATTAGAAAATTACAAAGCATCAAAGCCTTTCAAAAGCTTAGTTAGAAAGTTAGGGAAAAAGCCAGTTAGAAAAAGACTATTTTGTTGTTACAGTACAACAATTAAGAAAAATAGTAAGTAGGCAATTTTCTGGAAACCAATTGGCAACTTCTAAAACACACTTATCTTGGGAGTCTTTTGAAATTTTTCTGACAGAGGGCATAAAAGCCATCTGTTGGTAGCAACCTGGACCATCATGAATTCAGGATACTTTCTGAGCAAGTTCTATCACCAAGTACAGCGAAACTAAGAAAATCGAGGCCTTAAACCAGACTCAACAATGAAAAGCAGCAATGAAATTCTCAAGTATGAGATTTGTAAAGACTGAAGAAATCAACATGATGATTTTCTCAGAAAATACTTGGGAGCAGAATCTTCACTGCCTACAACACCACAGCTTCTCCTGTACACTTTCTTTTTGGGGGAGACACCACCTTCCATAGTAAGTTTTCCTGAAGAAGCCTCAAGAAAAGTTCTGGCATAGTCACACAGTTGAAATGTCTGCATAAGCAAAACAAAACTGATGAATTTAGGCAAAATAAGCATTTTAACTAGAATTTTCATTTAACTATCACCTTTGATAATCTTTCTCAGCATGTTTTATCATTTCACATAGTAACATTAACTACCATGGACATAGAGAATCATCAAATTAGCTTTCACATAAGTGGAAACACCAAGGTAGCACTGCTACCAATTCACAATGGCTGAAAAATTATAGTTGTACCTTGTCTTCAGATGGACAGAGATACAAATACTGGAATGTGGCAGTAATATTTTTTGAGAATCTTGGCCCAAAAACATCTTTGTCCGTTCCAAACTGGTGACGCGACTGACGAACAATAGAGTCAATAACGTACAATCCAGGGACTTTATATTCCGGTTTGCACTGAAAACATAGAAGCAATTTTCCATTATGCAGTGATACTAACACGGTAACATGTATTCACCTTAGATCCCTAACGAAATCTATACTCAGTACACTTGGGCAGAAAAAAAAAAAAACACGTTAACTTGTTTTATGTAGAATTCTCTTAAGTGCTTTACTTTTGTTTTGTTTATAGAAATGGAAAAGAAAGAAGAAAAACACACTTTCAGATTTGGGACAGATTAAATACACCTGAACAGCTTGAAGCAGCCTTTATCTTCTCAATCACTGCTTTTAAAGTACCTTTAACTTGACAACATGTGACTGCAACAGGTCTACTACATTACAGTACACACTGTCAGAACTCTGCTATCAAGCTACCTCACACTCAGTGCACCGAACTGCTCCCACCAACTCTATTCTCCAGAATTTAACGCAAAGTCCTTCTCTTTGGAGATCTCTGAAGGACTCTGAATGAAGAAGAGTATTTTTCCTGTTCATTCAGAGGAACTTATTTTAGGCAGCATGACAGTTTGAGTTTAGTGAGTATTACATTCTAGTCTGTTGTTCTACATGCCTAGGCAAGCATGAAAACTGTATTTTCTGAATATATGTATTACCTTAGCCAGTGAAAATTAATTTGAAGTTCAGTACCTCTAGTCTCCTCCCCAATTGCTGGGTAGAGGAGGAAGGGGGAACTTCACAATTTTTTTTCTCCTCTTCTTAAAGTACTATGGAAAACTAAAATGAGGAGATTATATAGACAAAGAGATACCAAAGTATATAAAATCCTAATCAAAAGAGAATTTTCTTCCTTAATCCCTGAATAACAGAAGCCTTTCTGGTTATTTACTAGCATTATAAATAATATCTAGTAACAGATGCAGACAAGACAATATCTTTATCAGTAGATTATTTTTTATTTCTTACCTTTTTGATAAACTTCTCTACAATTTGGACAACATGCTTGTAGAGCTGGAAAATAAACACATAATTTATCATCTACTCAACAGTGGCACATCATTTTAGAAGTATTTTAACTCTTTGCACTTACTACCATTTAGGAAAGACTACAAAATATTGTAGTCACATTCTAAAGAGTGGTATGTTATCAAGCTAAGTTAAGAAAGCACAGAGAAAAAGACTTCATGGGGGAACAGAGAGAAACAAGCCTCCTTTCTGTTAGAAGTGTGTCAGTGTGTACAAAAAAAGTCATACTGCTTCTAGAGTATTAGTGAGAGCTTTCTGAATCTACTTCCTAAGCAAGCCCGCTATGCTTTAATATGCTAAGGTGCAGTTGCATTCTACAACATTTAAAATTTTATTACATAGAAATCACAACACCCTAGTTGGTGTAGCATTAAAAAGTAATGATTCAAAAAAATCAAGCTGGCATTACATTTTTAGTGTAAAACCAAGAGCTGATATTCACCACCCACTTGTTTCTAGGTAACATTCTTAACACCAACTATAATAAAACATCCATGAAGCTAAGACTGGGAAATCCAGATATGCATTTACTTAGAAGTAAAAATAATAAAACATCACTACTGTTACATTTTCATATTTGTTCTATTGTTCTTTACCTTAATAGCTTTAATGGCAGCTTTTGTGATGAGAATCATTTTTGCTCGGGAAATAGGAGGTTTCATCTCCATCAGTGAAAAGAGCTGAACAGAGAAAACAAATATTAAAAATGTATTCTGAAGTTTAAGCAGTTAACCAAAAAGACAACCAGTTGATTACTGACATTCCACACTATGTATCACCACAATGCTGGCTGGCCCTTGAAATGAAGAGACTAACAGGCAGATCTTTCTGTCTAGGCAATGTTCAAAGCTATTGTCCTTATGAACTAACCCATATTCTCTGATTTACCAGACTTTGATAAGGCTGCTGTCGAAGTTCCATTTGTGTCCAAAAATTAATATCTGCTAGCTTATGGTATGGGAACTTGCTATTTTACAAAAACAATATAAACCAGAAATAACTGCAGTTTCATTTCAATTAGCCTGGGTATCTGTTTACCAAATAGAAATATTAGGACATCCCTACAGATAGGTAGACTGACATAATCCTATAATCTTAAAATAATGAGCATAAAAGTATGACAACTTTAATCCATCAAGGTGATCAAATCAACACTAAGTTTTCAAATTATCCTGGCATTGTAAATGTCTTCAATGGAGATGTTTACCATTTTGTTTGCTGTGACCATACCGTATTATTATTAAAATTAACTGCAACAACTGTTTTGGAGAATCTCTGCACTATTCTCCATACTACTGCCACCCAGTGGAAACGTTAATTCCCTAAGGACAAAGTTTTCAGAAGTTACTAGTCTTTATAGACGACAGTTTGAGGCATTCTGTGAACCCAACTTACAGAATAATTCTGATCTCATTTCTACAAACATAACCCAGGCACACTATTTCAAAGAGTCTTAATCATAACAGAATGGCACTCTTCTTAACTTCTGATAAGACCATTAAGCACAAAAAGGGATCCTGCAGTGCTAGATTTAAATACATTTTTAAAGTCTGAATTCACAGAAAGCATATTCTGTATTCAAAACATGTAGGATCCAGGTAGGATATCCAGCTCTTGAAATCTGAGAGTGTGACTCTAAGCAAAAAATCCTCAAGCTTCATTTTCACAAATAGCATCACCATGACTTAAATCTCATGTGTGAAGAAATTTATTACAAAACACTTAAAAAATCTTGGACCTAGACATTCAGAAAAGACACCACTCTGTCTTACACTATTGACTGTAACTCTGAAAACAAGTATTAGCTTCACATTTCAGAAACCGAAACTAAAACTTGCACACAGAACTGTCAGAGACCATGAAACACCTGTGAAGGGCTGAACACAGAAATTTGAGGGAAGAGGGACATTTTCCTCAGGATCGCAGCACCACCTGAACAGCTTGACATTCTTGTACTTTGCTTCCTGGAGAGCATTTTAAGACAATAGGGAAATAAAACCAAACCGCTGCAAATCCTTTAAGTAACAGTCCTGCAGTCTGGCGCTCATAAGCAGGCATGCACACATACCAGCGGACACCAAAACCCAATGCGTACTTCACCACTTTCCAGACCACTCTGCCTACTCTGAATCTACAGTGAATTCAATATATTATCCATAAGCTGCTGTTGTAATTTCACATCGTAAAGTAACCAGTTGCAAAAACTACACCGTATGGTACACTATGTTTTTATGACATAGTGTACACACTTCTGTTCTACTAGTCATTAGAGCTGGAAGCATAATCCACATTGGCTTGTCAGGACCATTCTCTCTTCTCCATCTTCCTTCCCATCTCCCAGGCAGAAAGAGAAGCCAGGACATCCCAGTACTACTTTTTAATTCCTCCTTCTGTATCACAGCTCATGGTTAGGTGCTCTGCTTCATTAAATATTATATCTTGTTTTCCCCATAAACTTAACTTCCTATTTAAGCTGTGGCTTACTAAAGGTAGAATCATTATATTGTCATGATTTGTATAGTGCAAAAAAAATGGAGATCTTCAACATCTCCTACAAACACATAAACACTTTTACCTTGAAATATTCCCCACAAATCATAGAAAAAAATGGTTTTGCATTACGTAATTTGATTTTGCTCTTCACAATAAAGAAAAAAGTAAGAGTCCTTGAATGCTAGCCATAAATGCAATCAATTATTTTCCACAAAGCAAAATAAAAGTATCTTCATTTGACAGTGTAATGGAAAATAAGATGTCATTTAAAAATTTATCTCTTTATTTTTCTATTAATTTAAAGTTCCAAGATACTTGTGAAGTGACCAACCTACACAGATTTATCCACTGCCTCAGTTAAGGAAAAAACAAATGCATTAGATAAAAAAAATTGGCCAAATATTTAAAGGCAAGTAAAGTGATAACAAAACTTACAGCAATACAAAATGAAAGCCTTCTACCAATAAAATACAAAGAATAGGCAAAAAGGTATTTATTTTTTCAATTAGATTCCTATTCCAGGAGATATGAAAGAAGAAATACTGTCCTTCAAGACAGTGGTAGACAAATACCTTTTCCAACACCAACATCAAGTCAAGACCATGACTCTTCATTACTAATCTCCCTAAAAGGCAAGTTCAAGTGCCAGAGTGTTTGATGTTTAAAGCCATTCAAGCTGTAAGACATACTTCAGCTAACATCCCTACTTGCAGAGAAATCACAATTTTGAATCATATTTCTTTAGAATTAAGTGCAAAGACTCTTGATGAACAAAGTCAGTGCTATTATTAAAACTCAGGAAAATATGTTTTAAGAGGTTATGAAAGACAAAAAAAAAAAATTTCCAAAACCCAACACCCACAAACAAACCATCAGAAGGGTGGAAAAATGAGACAGAGAAGGAAAAAAGGAGCCCACATTGAGACAGGCACTCCATATCCTTTCTTTTACAGACCGAGAAGCAACTGGTCCTCCAGAAAAAGGAGCCAGTCCCATATAACAAGAACAAAGAAGCCAGTGTGAAAGCAGCACTTCAGCGTTGGTATTTCAGGAACACAACCAGAGAGAACCAGGAAACTGGGGAAACAGGAGGACAGAAGATGACTATAAGCAAGTGGCAGCAAAAAATAAAACGAAGCGGCTTAAAAGGTATCCCAAGAATGATGTTGCAACTCGGGGGAAAAGAAAAAAACCTAAAAAATCCAAGGAGATAGAAACTGCCAGAGGGCAGGAAAAAGGGAAATCAGGTAGATGCACTGAAGTATCCAGGAAGGATGCAAAAAAGAGTATGGTAGCTTGGAGAAGTCATTAATTAAAGAATACAAGAGGCTGAAACTTAGGCTAATAAGGCAGGAATAAACAAGAGCTTTGGAAGAACAGGCTTGAGCAGATGACTGCAAATTGTTCCTTTGCTGTTACAGACAGCACTGTGGGCAACAGCAACAAAAACATAGTAAAAGCAATGAGGTCAATACACACAGATATTTCCATCTCAGGATGAACTACAGCTGAAACATGCATCAAACTGAGATGCATATATTTTTATACACAAATACATATGCACACATATATGTATATGCATATATATGTGTGTGTGTGTATATATATGTGTGTATTCTGTCCTCTCTTCAAACACACCCCTGCATCACTATCTCTTGGAATAGCGCATGAAAACTTTGTTGCCTCTTCAAATTTTCCCAAGATTTTAGAATACCAAATGACTATTTTAAAGCTGATTTTTATTTAATTTTCAGTATCATAGTTACATGTGTCAAAACCATGTTTTAAAGATGGGTAAATCTAAAATTTAACAACCTTACTAGTTCCACATGGATTTTCACTGTTAGAAGGGGAAAAATCACTGTTCGGTAAGATGCCCATGTACTTCACATTTGCATATGTTCAATTAGAGTTGGATCTTCTTTCATACACATTTCCCAAACGAGTATATGAAAAAAACACCTGTTTTCAGAGGACCATTCTTCCAATAATAGATCTAATTCCTCAAAGGGCACCATGATCAACTCAAGAAACAACCTAGACACAAAAACTTACACTTCATTTAAAAAATAAAAGAAATGTGATGGATGTAACAAAGGCAACGATAATTTGCAGCTTGAGAGTGTTTCCAATGTACTGCCTCACAACAGGAGCCTGTTCCTGGAATGTTCTGCCCTGTAAAGCTTGACCTCCTAGAAATGGCTTGCTGCTTTTACTGACCACAGCTGGATGTTTGGAGAAAAAAAAAAAAAACAGCCGCTCCTACTAGTTGTTCCCTACCTTCCTTCCCCATATAGCGACACCACAGGCTAAAGAAAAAAGCAGTTTAACTCTGCCTCTATTTCTACTGCCCACCACCCCCAATCCATTCATTTGGCAATGAAAACCATTCAGGGTATCCCATTCACTAGGATGGGGGGGTACCACAGGGCAGGAGATAGCAGGGGAAAAAAAATTTAAGTTAAACTTTATTTTTACATGAGAGCTAATTAATCCAAAGACAATTCAAGACTTGTATCTTTATGCACTTTTGATAATTTCAATAGTTTAAGAATTATCTTCTGCTGTCTGTGTGGATTCTTTCATACACAAGGAAAAACTAATGTAGAAAAACTAGTTGAAAGGCTTAGCCACAAAATGTTATCAAAATCACTAAGGCAAAGGTCATAAGAAAAACTTTCCTATTTCAGTTATAATTGTCTCACCTGTTGAAAGTAGTATGAAAAAATACACTTTTGTTTTACACCAACTCTAGCTTAGGATACAATTTCAATTTAAGAATTTCCAAACATTTCTGGAACTTCCCTCCCTATATTTGAAAGTCTGTGCACTGTAGCTGCACGTTTGTGAAAGCACCATGTTTTTAAAGGGAATCATTTCCTTGTTGCTCTGTATCAACCCATGTACTGCAAAAAAATGGTGTTATTAAAGAGCCTACTAAACTCAAGCCACAACACAAAATACTAATTCAAGAGTATTTCTGCATACTTTTCACAATACGGAAGTACAGGATAAAATACCTATGAAGCCAAGAACTTCAAAGGCAGAAAAATCACCTGTTCATTTTCAGGCTAATAAATGCAATTAGGTAACAAAGATGAGCCACTCACTAAACCATAGCAGATAGCAAAAGGGAAACTATCCATATTGCCTGCTATTTAAAGAGCAAGCTAGTAACCAT